TCACCCGGCCTCGCCTCCTAGCAGGGATTACAGATATGAGCCACCGTGCCCGGCCGAACTGTGACTTTCACTTGAAACTGAGCTCCCTTTCCAACACTAAAATGTGTCTCTCACAGCTCATTCCGTTGAACTTCGAAGTTCGCAAATTCTCTTTGTGCAAACATCTAACTTCTATTTCTCATAACTGAATCCTGATTTCACCCTACTGTGCTGGGTGTCAGAATCTTAATTATGTCAGGTAATTAAGCAAATCTCTTCTCCTCCCCTTCTACCATAGACTGGGGGGAGAGAGTCGAGGCCCCAGATGGGACTGCAGTATTCTCAGTCCAAACAGTGAACACACAGTCACCCTCAATCACTCGTGATGGTCTTGAGGGGCCACTGCTACCTCCTCCTGGTCCTGACCTTGAGGCGTCTCAGCACTGGCTTTCTCTGAATTCCTTCTGAGCACAAGTAAATCATTCAGCTTCTTCCTGAACCAGTAAGGATTTCTCACCCAGATACTCCTGTCCCATGGTTACTCGACTGTGACTGCACCATGCTTGACCCCGAGGGGAACTCTGCGAAGCTCACCACCTCCGCCAGCTTCCCAAGGGAGAAAGACACGTACCCTCCCCTCTGAGACCTCCAAACCTGTGTGGGTGTCTGTCATCACTACCACTCCTGCCTCGTACCCGTGCACACCCGAGGACTGTGTCAGGAGAGGCGGATGCGTTGATGTCTAAGCGTTCTTGCATCCTTAACTTGGCAACCGGAAAAGCGTGTTCTTTTCTTTGATCTCTGGATGTTTCATTTTGTTTTTTTGTCATCTCCATCTTTCGATGCCTCGTGCAATGAATTGTGTGTGGGAGGAAGGGAGAGGCAAACGTGTACAAGGACACAGAGGTATCCTGGAGAAACTGTGACTCTTACTATAAAATATGAATCTCACTCACTTGTATGGCACCTTGTACTTTATTTTATTTATTTATTTTGAGGCAGAGTCTCACTCTGTCACCCAGGCTGGAGTGCAGTGGTGCAACCTCCGCTCACTGCGACCTCTGCCTCCCGGGTTCAAGCAATTATCCTGTCTCGGCCTCCTGAGCAGCTGGGACTACAGGTGCCTGCCACCACGCACGGCTATTTTATTTATTTATTTATTTAGTAGAGACAGTGTTTCACCATGGCGGGCCTCAAACTCCTGACCTCAAGTGATCTGCCAGCCTCGGCCTCCCAAAGTGCTGATAACTGAACTTGATTTCAATTCCCATTGTGCTGGGTGTCGAATCTTAATTAAAGCCAGGTAATTACAACCTCTTCTCCTTCTTACCATAGACTGGGGGAGAGAGTCGAGGCCCTGTGGGGATGGGACTGCAGTATTCTCAGTCCAAACAGTGAACACACAGTCACCCTCAATCCTCTCTACTCTCGTGGTCTTGAGGGGCCACTGCTACCTCCTCCTGGTCCTGACCTTGAGGCGTCTCAGCACTGGCTTTCTCTGAATTCCTTCTGAGCACAAGTAAATCATTCAGCTTCTTCCTGAACCAGTAAGGATTTCTCACCCAGATACTCCTGTCCCATGGTTACTCGACTGTGACTGCACCATGCTTGACCCCGAGGGGAACTCTGCGAAGCTCACCACCTCCGCCAGCTTCCCAAGGGAGAAAGACACGTACCCTCCCCTCTGAGACCTCCAAACCTGTGTGGGTGTCTGTCATCACTACCACTCCTGCCTCGTACCCGTGCACACCGAGGATCAGGTCAGGAGAGCGGATGCGTTGATGTCTAAGCGCTCTGCATCCTTAACTTGGCAACCGGAAAAGCGTCTTTCTTTGATCTCTGATGTTTCATTTTGTTTTTTTGTCATCTCCATCTTCGATGCCTCGTGCACGAATTGTGTGTGGAGGGAAGGAGAGGCAAACGTGTACAAGGACACAGAGGTATCCTTGGAGAAACTGTGACTTTTACTATAAAATATGAATCTCACTCACTTGTGAGGCACCTTGTACTTTATTTTATTTATTTATTTTGAGGCAGAGTCTCACTCTGTCACCCAGGCTGGAGTGCAGTGGTGCAACCTCCGCTCACTGCAACCTCCGCCTCCCGGGTTCAAGCAATTATCCTGCCTCGGCCTCGATAGCTGGGACCAGAGGTGCCTGCCACCACGCACGGCTATTTAATTTATTTATTTATTTAGTAGAGACAGTGTTTCACCATGGTGGCCTCAAACTCCTGACCTCAGGTGATCTGCTGCCTCGGCCTCCCAAAGTGCTGAGATTACAGGCGTGAGCCACACACCCAGCCAAACATGGATTTTTAATGGGATAATTTCAAGCACCAGAGCAAGCTAATTGGGAGCGTCAATGGCAAGGAGCAGTAGCAAGCGTTCATGAAATCAATGACAGAGGTGCTGGCAGCTGATGCACACTCACAGTCCCACTTAATTTTTCAAGTGAAATTCCCACTTGGGAGAATTTTACTAGAGCTATTTTCCAAATAAGAGATAGAGACGAGAGGGTCTCTACCTCTTCTTCGGTGCGAGGAGATTGGTGCAGTTTCCAGAATGGCAGAAGGCGGATATGCACCCAGATCTGTCTCAAGTCCAAACTCCAACTCATCACTTCCTAAATGTGGCTCCATTCTGCCAGGCTGGATAAGGGAAGTAGTTCTGCTTCCAAACTTAATATGTGACAGATGAGGCAACCTAAACTAAAGTCTTCTTGAGTTTGGCCAAACCATGCTGCCAAGGGCTCAATCCAAATAATCATAATGTTTGCCCAACTATGCCACAACTCACACGACTCAAAGGCAAGGGAATCCCAGGCGACAGTCCAGGAAACAGGTACTTCTGGGGAGTCTGCCACCTCTGATCCTGCTCCCGTGGCACACACAGTGCCCCATCTGCCTCCAGACCTGTGCTGAAGGAATGGGGGGAAGGGGCAAACTTTGTAAATGTAGGTGATCCAATGGTCACTTGAGGCCTCTCAAGCAGGGACTCTGTAGATGTTGTTAATGGGCCAAACGGAACGCACATCTGCCCCTAAATGTGTTTGTTTCTCTCTTTCTCTCTTTCTTTCTTTTGAGACAGGGTCTTGCTGTGTTGCCCAGGCTGGAGGTAGTGGTGCACCTTGGCTCACTGCAACCTCCACCTGCTGGGTTCAAGTAACTCTCCTGCCTCAAGCCTCCCAAGGAGCTGGAACCACAGGCATGTGCCACCACGCCTGGCTAATTTTCTGTATTTTAGTAGAGACAGGGCTGGTCTCGAACTCCTGGCCTCAAGTGATTCACCCACCTTGGCCTCCCAAAGTGCTGGGATTACAGGCATGAGCCACAGTGCCCAGCCTTGTTTCTTTCTAAATGAGGCTTCCTTTTGTATTTTTACATTTCCTTCTACATAAAACTCAGTTAAGGGCACAGGGGCTTACACCTATAATCCCAGCATTTGGAGAGCCCAAGGCCAGTGGATTACTTGAGCCCAGCAGTTCGAGACCAGCCTGAGTTAACATAGTGAAACCCCAGCTCTACGAAACATTTAAAAATTAGCCAGCCATGGTGGCACGCACCTGTGGTCCCAGCTATTTGGGAAGCTCAGGTGGGAGAATCTGTTGAGCCCAGGAGTTCCAGGCTGCAGTGAGGTATGATCTGGCCACTGCACTCCAGCCTGGGCAACAGAGTAAAGAGCTGTCTCAGAATAAATACTTTTTAATAAACTAAAAACTCAATGGGCCAGGTGTGGATGGTTCACATCTGTAATCCCAGCACTTTGGGAGGCCAGGTGAGGCAGAATAGGGAATGAGGGTAATCAAGGGTTAAGGCAGAAACAAAAGAATAGCAGGTGCAGCCAGTTTTAGGCAAGATTAGGCAGCATAGAGGCCACGTGTTCATCTCTTGGCCAATCAGGAGGCTGATTGACCCGAATCCTTCAGCGGGTGTAACTAATTGGAGGCCTCTAACGGGCACCTAGGGCTTAACTAATTCTTCCAGCTTAATAAAAATCCTAATGGCGGTTATTGAGCCGTTTGCTCTATCCCGCTCCTGCCCTGTGAATTGTACTTTCTGTTTAATAACTGTCTTTCCTTACTCCGGTTTTTTTTGTTTGTTTGTTTTGTTTTGTTTTGTTTTCATTGCTTTGTTCTTTTATTACTTTGTGCATTTTGTTCAATTCTTTGTTCAACACGCCAAGAACTCTGACAATCCACGGTCAAGACTTACATCTAGTAACAGGAGGATCCCTTGCTGCCAAGAGTTCGAGACCAGCCTGGGCAAAAAAGTGAGACCCTGTCTCTACTATATATATATAAAAATATATGTTTAATTATGTGGGCATGGTGATGCATGCCTGTGGTCTCAGCTACTCCTCAGATTGAGGCATCACCAGCCCAGGAGTTGAGGCTGCAGTGAGCCATGATGGCACCACTGCATTCCAACCCAGGTGACAAAGCGAGATCCTGTCTCTAAATTAAATTAAAAACAGTATCACCAAAACAACAGGTTGGGCGGTGGTGTCTCACGCCTGTAATCGGAGCACTTTGGGAGGCCCAAGTGGGAGACCATTTGAGGCCAGGAGTTCGAGAGCAACCTGGGCAACACAGACCCCACCTCTACAAAAAAGAAAACTGGCCTTGGTGGTGCGCGCCTGTAATCCTAGCTACTTGGGAGGCTGAGTCAGGGGGATCGCTTATCCCGGAGGCTGAGGCAGCTGTGAGCTGAGATCACGCCACTGCACTCCAGCCTGGATGACAAACCGAGACCCCCTATCCAAAAAAAAAAACGCCCTGCTCAGTTTTTCCTGAAATGCGCAGCCCTCGTAGCCAGGAGAGAACTCGCGAGCCAGCAAAAACACAAACTCGGCCAGGAAACGGACCACAAGCCCACCCGGAGGAGTCAGAAGAAAACGCTCCGCCGCGGGTTCTTCTTCCGGGCCGGCGGCGAGCGCTTCCGGGGCGGTGGCGAGGGAGGTGGAAGTGCAGTGTCCCGGCAGGTGGCTGCTGTAGGTGGCGGGCCGTGGGAGGCTCCGAGGTGAGGGCCAGGTCGGGATGGCTGCAGGCGCGCCGGGGCCGGGAGCGGGCCCTGGGCGGCCCAGGAGAAGCGCTTGTGCTCCTCGCCGGCGCTGCTGAGTTTCTTCATCTACAACTGGCGCTTCGCCGCGCGAAGGAGAGGTATGCGGAGGGGGCGGCGCGCGGAGTCAACCGGGCCCAAGGGGCGGGCGGTGTCGGTACTCCCCGGGAGGCCTCGGTCCTGTGGTTCTACCCACTTCGAGCGGCACAGACCTAGCCTGCGTTGTGCCAGTGCGAGCACGACCGGGACTACGGCGGGACCCGACAGCAGGCAGGGACCGCTTCAGGTCCTGGGTCGATGCTATGGAATAAAGCCCCGTCGGGTTCGTCTCCACAGCCTGGGTTGAGGCTGTTTGCGCGTTGCTTTGCGTCAGTTCTGGGAAATTAAAATGGAACTTGGCTTTAAGTGGTTAGTCCCCAGCTAGAAGCGTGGAAGCAGAGTGGCAGAAGCTGGCCTCTCAAGCGATGCAAGCCTGGAGGACCGTGTAAAAGCGGCCAAATGAGGAAATAAATTAATTCCGAGTGGTGTGTGTGTGTGTGTGTTGTTGTTTTTCTGAGGTGGGGACGGCGACTTTCAAAGATGGAGCTGTTTCGTTACTAGCAAGTCACAGTTCTTTTAAAGATCATCCAGGCTGGGTCTTGACTTACGCCTGTAATCCCAGCACTTTAGGAGGCCTAGATAGAGGATTGCTAAGGCCAGGAGTTCCAGACCAGCCTGGGCAACATAGCAAGACCCCCATCTCTTACCTGCCCCAAAGAACAATCGAAAAGTGAGCCAGGCGTGGTGACACGCCCCTGTAGTTCCAGCTACTCAGGAGGCTGAGGCCAGAGGATCGCTTGAGCCCGAGTGGCTGAGGCTGCAGGAGCTGTAATTGTGCCGCTGCACTACAGCCTGGGCCACAGAGACCACATCTCAGAAAGAGAAAAAAAGTAAAAACTTGTCAGTTCAAATGCCTGGGAACTGACTGGATTTAATTTCAGGGAGCTGTGTGTCTGCAGATGTGCAGCTACCCTTTTATTTCTTATAAGCCTTGGTGTATTACAAATTACCACCAGGAAAGAAATCTAGAGACTGAGTTTTCATAGAAATTACCTGGTGCTACTTCAGATATAATGTGACTAACTGAATATCAAAACTGCCTTTCTGGCTGGTGGGCAGTATTTGCACATGATAAGATAATTCCTGTTTTTCTTACTATTTTTAGTAATAGAGACGAGATCTCACTGTGTTGCCCATGCTGGTCTTGAACTCCTGAGCTCAAGTGATCCTCCCGCTTCAGCCTCTCAAAGTGCTAGGATTACAAATTCCTGTTTTTGTAAAACGTTTTGTTTTGTTTTGTCACAAAGTATGACACAAGAGGTCGACATTGAACTTAACGTTTCTTGTGCAGCGTTTTCAGTAGCTAAGATGAAATGTTTATATTAATGTGCTTCTGTTTCTTCATGTTTCAGGAGGAAAATAAGATTTTATTTTATCATCCAAATGAGGTAGAAAAGAATGAAAAGATTAGAAATGTCGGATTGTGTGAAGCTATTGTACAGTTTACAAGGTAATACCTCTAAGTGTGCCTTTTAGAATTCAGTGAATTCTTAAAACTTCTGCTGGAGAATTGTCCCAAACGTATTTTTTTAACCTTTGTAGGACCTTTAGCCCATCAAAACCTGCAAAATCTTTACATACCCAGAAGAATAGACAGTTCTTCAATGAACCAGAAGAACATTTCTGGATGGTCATGGTATTTACATACACGGTGTATCTTTCTGAAATTGTACGGTGAAGTTATGGGTGATCTTTACTATTCAGAGTTTGGGAAAGTTCTCTGGCTGTTGCATCCAAGTAACATTAAAATAAATTAGTTGGAATTTTAAAGTCAAGTTCTTCCTATTTGCTTTATTTGTTCTTGGGGCCGTTTTAAGAAGTTGTGTTTCTGGTGCTATAGCATGTTCAAAGTTTTTAAATTAAGGCAAAATTAAAAGCATGGTATAATGAATTCATTGTATAATTTCAGTTTATCAAACTTGGCAGGTTGTTCGGAATCCTATAATTGAAAAACAGAGTAAAGATGGAAAACCAGTTATCGAATATCAAGAGGAGGAGTTGTTGGTAATGTGTCACTATTTATTTATTTATTTTAGATATATTACTGAGTATGTTGAATCCCTCAATTGGTCGGATTTAAACTCGGTGGCTTTTGTGGAAGTTTCTCAGGGTATATAGCAAAGGTTTATGTTTATCGTTTACATGAGCACAGTCTTTTTAAAATGTATATGCACCTTGTCTCACTAATACCTTCTGCTCTTCATCTACATTGAAAGCCCTCCTAAAGTAAGGCTTACTGATTCACAAATTAGAATTTAAACACTTCTGGCTGGGAACAGTGGCTCACCCCTGTAATCCTAGTACTTTGGGAAGCCGAGGCGGGCAGATCACTTGAGGTCAGGGGTTCAAGACAAGCCTGGCCAATATGGCGGAACCCTGTCTCTACTAAAACTATAAAAATTGGCCAGGAATGGTGGCGCACACCTGTCATCCCGGCTACTCAGGAGGCTGAGGCAGGAGAATCGCTTGAACCAGGGAAGCAAAGGTTTCAGTGAGCTGAGACTGCACCACTGCGCTCCAGCCTAGACAACAGAGTGAGACTCCATCTCATAAAAGAAAAAAAAAGTAAACACTTTTTTTCAGCACACAACTATTGGGGGGACCAAGTTTATAAACATTATACCGTTTGGCCAAGAGTCAGTGTAGCTTTGCCATCTATCCGATAGACATTGTTTTCCCTTGAATTGAGATCTGTGCTGTGTTTTTGTGTTTGCAGGACAAGGTTTATAGTTCAGTGCTACAGCAGTGCTACAGCATGTACAAGGTAAGCCTGGCATTCATTTCGAACTGAGAGTCCGACCAGTTACCCCTATTTATAGGCTCCAGGGTTGTTTAAAGAGAAATCTTTAAATGACTAAAGTGACTGTGTATTTGTCTTAGAGAAGAAAATAATGAGCCCTTGGAAACAGGTAGTGAGATTTATGCCCGCATTTATTCAGCAAGTATTGAACTCCCTTTTCTCTCTCAGCCTCATAGTGGGAATATGTCCCCACTGATGAAAAAGTGTGTCTCTGTCCTCAAGGAACGTACAGAATGCAGATAATTTTATGATTTAAACATTTCAGTGAGGCAGGGCATAGTGTATCTCACCTGTAATTTCAGCATTCTGGGAGGCTGAGGCGGGAGGATTGCTTGAGCCCAGGAGTTCAGAACCAGTCTGGGCAATATAGCAAGACCCCATCTCTACAAAAAATTTCTGTAAAAGTTAGTCAGGTGTCATGGTGCATGCCTGTAGTCCCAGCTACTTGGGAGGCTGAGGTGGGAGGATTGCTTGAGCCAGGGAGGTCGAGGCTGCAGTGAACTGTGATTGCACCACTGCACTCCAGCCTGAGTGACAGAACGAGATTCCGTCTCAAAAAAAAAAAAAAAGGATAAAAATGGTGATTCCATTCATTGAAAGAAAACTGAAAAATAAAAATTTGGGTGATATTATTTATGTAAATTGAAACTTCAGGGTGAGTTGAAATTTTTGAAAGATGCCTAGAGCAATTAGGTGGTTTCATAAATAAGACAGCATCACTTAACAGTATTTTTTTGTAACTTATATTTATTTTTAACTCAACTTTTCTCATGTAAATATTTTTTCTGTTGAAAAGAACTGGGAGATTTAATGAGCTGAATTAATAATCTAAAGGAAAAAAAGAACTTGTTCTACTGAAAATGTGAGCATGGGAAATTGATTTTTTTTTCTGCCGTCCTTTACCTCATAGCTTTTTAATGGAACATTTCTGAAAGCCATGGAAGACGGAGGCGTCGAGCTTCTGAAAGAAAGATTAGAGAAATTCTTCCATCGGGTAAGTACTTTGAATTTCGTTTATGACTTCAGTGAGCATTCAGCAGATTTTTAGAGAAATATGGACAGACAAGTTTGTTTCTTATGTACAAAAAACCCAGAACTTGAAAGTGGCAAAGAGCCTGAGACGGACCGTCGTAAAACTGGAGCAGCGAGGAAACGCGTGAGGCGGGCGCTCTGGACCCTCCCTCCAGCTGTAAGGCAGAGCTTCCTGCGTTCGCCCGGGGCTCTTAAAGAGTCCTGGAGTCATCGTTTGGCCTCCTTGTGTTTTACCTGCGTCTGTCCTGGGCTTACTCAACAGCCGTCTTTTGTGTGATGGATGAGTTGATAAGGAAAACGTGATTATTGGAGTCGCACATTCTTAGGGATGGGCTCTGTTCACTAAACAGGCATAAGCTGTGTCGATGCAGGAGGAGTTACTGAGTTACTGGCTGTGGGACTCGGTCAGGTGAGCCATTAGGGACATTTGTCCCAAGTGCTGTTCTTCCATTGTAATGGAACTGTGCGTATTTCACCCGACCTTGTCAAGCTCAGTTTATCTTTTTTTAAAAGGAAACAAAAAAAAGAGGATCTTATCCTGGCTGTTTTGCCCAGGCTGGTCTCAAGCGATCTTCCCTCCTCGGCCTCCCAAAGTGCTGGGGTTAAAGGCATGAGCCAACTCGCCCAGCCCAGTTTCCCTTGAAACAATTCTCAATTTATTTTCTTCTGAAAATACCTTCTGTGTCTATTGTTGAGTTCAACTTTTCTCTCTAAAACAGCTTTCATAACTATTTTCGAATTTTTTGTTTCTCTGAATTACTTCTTTGTTGTTTTGTCATTTTAATGACCACAATTATCCACTCGCATATTATCTCCTGATTTCTGTTCTTGTCCTCATTTCTCTCTTACCCATAAATATATGGATACAACTGTTGTCCTGACTACGTATCATTTAGACCTGATTTTAGTATAAGATGGCACTCTCGGCTGGGCGTGGTGGCTCACGCCTGTAATCCCAGCACTTTGGGTGGCCAAGGCAGGCAGATCATGAGGTCATGAGTTCAAGACCAGTCTGGCCAACATGGTGAAACCTCGCCTCTACTAAAAATACAAAAAAACTAGCTGGGTGTGGTGGCGCATGCCTGTAATCCTAGCTGTTCTGGAGGCTGAGGCAGGAGAATCGCTTGAACCCAGGAAAACGTGATTGGCTGGAGTCGCACATTCTTAGGGATGGGCTTGTCTACTAAACAGGCATAAGCAAAATATGCAGTGAGGAGTTACCGAGTTACTGGCTGTGAGTCCCAAGTGCTGTTCTTCCATTGTAATGGAACTGTGCGTATTTCACCCGAATTGTCAAGCTCAGTTTATCTTTTTTTAAAAGGAAACAAAAAAAAGAGGATCTTATCCTGGCTGTTTTGCCCAGGCTGGTCTCAAGCGATCTTCCCTCTCGGCCTCCCAAAGTGCTGGGGTTAAAGGCATGTGAGCCAACTCGCCTCAGCCCAGTTTCCTTGAAACAATTCTCAATTTATTTTCTTCTGAAAATACCTTCTCTGTCTATTGTTGAGTTCAACTTTTCTCTCTAAAACAGCTTTCATAACTATTTTCGAATTTTTTGTTTCTCTGAATTACTTCTTTGTTGTTTTGTCATTTTAATGACCACAATTATCCACTCGCATACCTCCTGATTTCTGTTCTTGTCCTCATTTCTCTCTTACCCATAAATATATGGATACAACTGTTGTCCTGACTACGTATCATTTAGACCTGATTTAGTATAAGATGGCACTCGGCTGGGCGTGGTGGCTCACGCCTGTAATCCAGCACTTTGGGAGGCCAAGGCAGGCAGATCATGAGGTCATGAGTTCAAGACCAGTCTGGCCAACATGGTGAAACTCGCCTACTAAAAATACAAAAAACTAGCTGGGTGTGGTGGCGCATGCCTGTAATCCTAGCTGTTCTGGGAGGCTGAGGCAGGAGAATCGCTTGAACCCAGGAGGCAGAGGTTGCAGTGAGCCAAGATTGCACCACTGTACTCCATCCTGGGCGACAGGAGCAGCTCCATCTCCGGGAAACAGATGGCAATTGTTCGTAGTACACGATAGATCCTCTTAATAGGTTAATCTAATTTGAAGGGCACTCACATAAGAAATTAAATACCTTTTTTGTTTTTTTGGTTTTTGGTTTTTTTGAGACAGTCTGTCTCTTGTCACCCAGGCTGGAGTGCAGTGTGTGATCTTGGCTCACTGCAACCTTCATCTCCCAAGTTCAAGTGAGTCTCCTGTCTCAGCCTGCCAAGTAGTTGGGATTACAGGCTACCACGCCTCAGGCTAATTTGTATTTTTAGTAGAGACAGGGATTGTAAGGTGGCTGGTCAGGGCTGTTCTCAAACTCCTGACCTCGAATGATCTGCCTGCCTTGGCCTCCCAAAGTGCTGAAAGTGCTGGGATTACAGGCGTGAGCCACCACCCCCGGCAAAGAATGAAATACTTTAAAGTGCTAGCTGGGCACAGGGCTCATGCCTGTATTCCTAGCTTTGGGACACCTAGACACAGAATCACAGAGGCTGGAAGTTCAAGACCAGCCTGGGCAACATAGCAAGACCCTATCTATACCCAAAAAAACAAAATTTTGGGCTGGGCGCGTGGCTCACGCCTGTAATCCCAGCACTTTGGGAGGCCGAGGTGGGTGGATCACAAAGTCAGGAGATCGAGACCATCCTGGCCAATATGGTGAAACCTCTGTCTCTACTGGGTGGTCATGGTGCAAAGCTGGGCATGGTGGCAGCTGCCTGTAGTCCCAGCTACTCGGGAGGCTGAGGCAGGAGAATGTCGTGAACCTGGGAGGCGGAGCTTGCAGTGAGCCGACAGTGAGCCGAGATTGCGCCACTGCGCTCCAGCCTGGTGACAGAGTGAGACTCCGTCTCAAAAAAAAAAAAATTTAATCCTTTGGCCGGGCGCGTGGCTCAAGCCTGTAATTCCAGCACTTTGGGAGGCTGAGACGGCGGATCACGAGGTCAGGAGATCGAGACCATCCTGGCTAACACGGTGAACTGCCTCATTAAGAAATACAAAACTAGCCGGGCGAGGGGTGGTTTTTTCCAGTCCCAGCTACTCGGGAGGCTGAGGCCGGAGAATGGCGTGAACCCGGGAGGTGGAGCTTGCAGTGAGCCGAGATCCGGCCACTGCACTCCAACCTGGGCGACAGAGCGAGACTCCGTCTCAAAAAAAAAAAAAAAAAAAAAATTTTAACTTTAAAAAGAGGTAAAACACAATACTGAATAAACATTAACTAGATATGTTTGAACTTTGTATCTTGGAATTGGTACTGAGTTCACACTCGGTTACCCATGTTTTCGCCATGGCCTCATTGTTGTGCTGTTTGCTAGTGTGTAATTGTACCATAAATACGAGTCTGACATAAGATTATTTTCAGTTATCAAGGAGCATTATATTCAGTGTACTATTAGTAAATTTTATGCATTTTTTTCCACAGTATTTGCAAACGCTACATTTGCAGTCATGTGACCTACTTGACATTTTTGGTGGAATCAGCTTCTTCCCGTTGGATAAAATGACTTATTTGAAAATCCAGTCCTTTATTAATAGAATGGAGGAAAGCCTGAATATAGTCAAATACACTGCGTTTCTCTATAACGATCAGCTCATCTGGTAGGTACACCCCGAGGCGTGGTATTAAAAGAAGAAATTGAGATAATAAAAACAGCAGTGACTGGATTGATGGCAGGTTGTCAAACAGGAACTTGTAGGGGGACGCTGGGTAGGAAGCATCTTCATAGATATTGTCAAAATAAAGCAGTGATTATTTAAAGCAGAACTAGGGTGATTTGGGTTAAAATTTCCAAGCAGAGGAGTTTAAAACTGGTTGCATGAAAGATGAAAGGCTGGGCGCAGTAGCTCACGCCTGTAATCTTAGCACTTTGGGAGGCCGAGTCGGGCAGATCACTTGAGGTCAGGAGTTTGAGACCAGCCTGGCCAACATGGGGAAACCCTGTCTCTACTCAAAATACAAAAATTAGCCGGGCGTGGTGGCTCATGCCTGTAATGCCAGCTACTCGGGAGGCTGAGGCAGGAGAATCGCTTGAACCCGGGAGGCGGAGGTTGCAGTGAGCCAAGATGGCACCACTACTCCAGCCTGGCGACAGAGAGAGACTCAGTCTCCAAAAAAAAAAAGTTCCTATCAAGTAAGGTTTAGGAATCCTATTTTTCTTTTGGAGATTTTTCCAAAATGACAAATGTGAGAAGCGGAATTTTTATAGCTTTTTTTTTTTTTCTTAGAGACGGGGTTTATTGTGTTGGTCAGGCTGGTCTCAAGCTCCTGGCCTCAGTGATCCACCCGCCTCGGCCTCCCAAAGCGCTGGGATTACAGGCATGAGCCACTGCACCTGCTTTCTTTTAAAGAAGCTACTGTTCTTTTTTTTAATCCAAGAAATCCAAAGTGTTATATAAACAAGGAAATTACCTGCTGTCGTCAAACTGTTTGTGTCCTGCAGTAAGAACAAGGTGGTCACAAGACTGCCCAGCATACGTGACCACTGAGAGCTGGATGGCAACCGAGGCCGCACACTTTTGGCCTAGAGTTAGATGGACAGAAGCGGTGGAGGCATAGCAGGGAGTGGCCGGCCCTCCCGCAGCTGTTCCAGGACCCTCAGGTTTTATGTTCCCATTGACTATAGCCCACTTTCTTTCTTTCTTTTTTTTTTCTTTTTTTGAGACAGAGTCTCACTCTCTTGCCCAGGCCGGAGTACAATGGCACAATCTTGCTTGGCTCACTGCAACCTCCACCTCCTGGGTTCAAGCAATTCTCCTGCCTCAGCCTCCTGAGTAGCTGGGATAACAGGCACGTGCCACCATGCCCAGCTGTTTTGTATTTTTAGTGGAGACGGGGTTTCACCATGTTGGCCAGGCTGGTCTTAAACTCCTGACTTCAGGTGATTTGCCTGGATTGGCCACCCAAAGTGCTGTGATTACAGGTGTGAACCTCCGCACCTGGCCTAGCCCCGTTTCTTAGTTAGGGGTGTGGCCATATTTTACTACTATAACGTGAGGTCAGCTAATAGAAAAGGCCAAACTAGTTCCCCTGAAATTTACCTTCCCTGCCAAAATCTTGTAGCTCCATTTTAAGGAGAGAAACAAGTTACTGTAAAGAAATTTGAATCCAGTTAATAAACAACTTGGTGGGTTTCCACATGAACTTTGTTATCTCCTAGGAAGACAACACAAATTTCTGGTGAAAACCCACCTACTTTTTTTTTTTTTTTGAGATGGAGTCACTTTCTGTTGCCCAGGCTGGAGTGCAGTGGCATGATCGATCTTGGCTTGCTGCAACCCCTGCCTCCTGGGTTCAAGCGATTCTGCCTCAGCCTCCTGAGCAGGTGGGATTACAGGTGCGTACCACGACACCCAGCTAATTTTTTTGTGGAGATGGGGTTTCACCATGTTGGCCAGGCTGGTCTCGAACTCCTGACCTCAAGTGATCCGCCTGCCTCAGCCTCCCAAAGTGCTGGGATTACAGGCATGAGCCACCATGCCCGGCCTCCACCTATTTTTTAATTTGACAAATTGTTTATGAGGCAACCTTCTGCTGTACTGACTCTGCTGTAGTTGCTTTCTGTGATACGCACACGATGTTAGTAAAGTGAAATACTGCCGTGGAATGTAGGAGATGGGAGGATAGTTGTGCTCCTGTAGCATCAGGTCTGCAGAGGGAGTGGCTCCTCCCAAGATGAAAATGACAGGAGGTGCTTGCAAGTGACATGCATCCACGGTGATAGGGAGATGTAGTGTGACAAGCCGGAATCCAGCAGCAGTGGCCCATGGCCTTGTCTCCACCGAAAAGAGAAGAGCAGCTGAGATTCTGATCTCTGGGACGGAACACAAGCCCTGCCGTGGGTGCAAACTCCTGAGAGTGAGGAAGAATGAAAGAGCAGAGGGTCCTCCAGGAGCTCATTCTGGGAGACCCTGGAGCCAGAGTGACCAGCAGCGTTGGCCCTTGGAAGCCTGGAGTCACAGGACAATCTGGTGCCCAGCTCCGGGGATCCCGCTGGCATCGTCATCTTGGAATAGCATCCAAGGGGTAGAGCAGGGCACAGCTCTGGTGGCTGCACAGAACTGTTCTGTTGTCACCTCCAGTGTGCTCGTGGGGGAAAGGTCAGTCCCAGGAAGTAGCAACAAAAAGAACCTTCAAGAAAAACAGCATGTTACTCCAGTTGCGATCGCTTCCACCTGTCATCCCAGCACTCTGGGAGGCTGAGGCAGGAGGATCACCTGAGACCAGGAGTTCAAGACCAGCCTGGGCAACATAGACTGTATCTCTACAAAAAATGCAAAAAAAAAAATCAGCTGGGCACTGTGGTGCGCACTTGACAGTCCCAGCTACAGAGACTACAGAGGTTGAGGCCGGAGAATCACTTGAGCCCGGAAGTTTGAGGTTGCAGTGAGCTATGATAGCACCGCTGTACTCCAGCCTGGGTGACAGAGCAAGACCCTGTCGAAGAAAAAAACAGCACGTTTTGACGGAATTGCTCATTCCGAAGCTGTTATATTTAAATGCCAAGAAAGACTTTTAAACCAGGTGCCGTGGCGCATACCTATAGTCCCAGCTACTGGGGAGGAGGAGGCAGAAGGATCGCTTGAGCCAGGAGTTACTTGGAGACCAGCCTGGACAATATAATGAGGCTCTGTTGTCTCAGCCTGGACATTATATTGTCATTATGTTGTCTCAGCCTGGACAATATAATGAGGCTCTGTCTCCACCAAAAGGGGAAATAAAAGAATTTGTCACAAGCAGAGTAAATATTACCCTTATGTATTTACTTGGTATATTGTTTAGATTTTTTTTTTGGGACAGAGTCTCACTTGCTCGGTCGCCCAGGCTACAGTGTCATGGCGTGATCTCAGCTCACTTCAACCTCCGCCTCCCAGGTTCAAGCGGTTCTCATGCCTCCGTCTCCCAAGTAACTGGGATTAGAGGCGTGTGCTATCAGTCCTAGCAAAATTTTGTGTTTTTTAGTAGAGCCGGTGTTTTGCCATGTTGGCCAGGCTGGTGTTGAACTCCTGACCTCAGGTGATCTGCCCACCTTGGCCTCCCAAAACCTGCTGGGATTACAGGTGTGAGCCACCGCGCCTGGGCACCTTCAGGATATTTCAGTGATCTTGAATAGAAAACCCCCAGATCCAGCCTCACTGTCTGTCTGTCTCTCCTTTTAAAAAACTGATTCCAGAGTCTGATGCCGGCTAGTTTCTCTGCTTTCTCCACGTGCTGCTCCTTCCTGCCTCATTTCAGATCAGATGGTTTGCCTGAAAGCTTGTTTTTCTCCTTCTCTCCTTTTTCTACACCGAGATCCGGAGAATTAAAATCCATGTACATTTCTGAGACCTAGGATCACGTTCCCTGTCTACAGCACACCCATATTTTCCCGGGGGACTAGGGGAGAGAATGTGGGGTTACTGTATAACCCAGGAAGCTAAGAGACATCTGCTCCTAAAGTGAAACAGTGTGGCTTTGGAGGTTTCCTGCATAATCCTACATGGAATTCAAGCAGTCCGATCCCTTGTGACTTTTTATCTCAAATGGCTTGTAAAATACAAGACTACGTAGGAGTAGCCTTTTGCAGGTCAGGATGAAGTTCCAGTGCCTGGACTCCAGTTTAACTCTTTGCCTTCCTGAACTTCGCAGTCAGGAGGTAAGCCTCTTGATATAATGTTAAAGAAAAAAGCACCGGTAGTCGCAGCTACTCAGGACGCTGAGGTGGGAGGTTCGCTTGAGCCTAGGAATCTGAGGCTGCAGCGAGCTGTGGTCACCCCACTGTAATCCAGCCTGGGCGACAGACGAGACTCATCTCTTGAAAAGTGAAAAAAGGTGAGGCCAGGCACAGTGGCTGACATATGTAATCCCAGCACTTTAGGAGGCTGAGGCAGGAGCACTGCTTGAGTCCAGGAGTTCAAAACCAACCTGGCAACATAGCAAGACGCCCATCTCTACATAAAGTAGAAAAATTAGCTGGGCATGGTGGTGCACGCCTGTAGTCCCAGCTAGTCTGGAGGCTGAGATGGGAGGACCACTGGAGCCCTGGAGTCCGAGGCTGCAGTGAGCTGTGATCGCACCACTGCACCCGGCCTGGGTGACAAAGCAAAGATGTCTCAAAAAAAAAATTTTTTTTTTTTTTTTAAAATAAAAAATGAGCTTTATCCAGAGCTTAAAATTTTTTGGAGAAGTTTGACAAAGTATACCACGTAAATTCAAATTTACCTCAGTGCTAAGAATTAGGGAAAAGGAAACTCATTTTGATCTCAGGTAGAAAAATAGATTGTTTTGAGTTTTATGTAGCTTTAGACTTTAAAAAGTTAGAATTTATTCTGTGTCACTAAAAATGACTTGAAAAAAAATTTTTTTTAAATGAGCTTTATCACAGCAGTGGAAAGACGGAAGACAATTCCAAAACGTTTAACCCAGTGCTTTTCTGATGTTCCAGGAGTGGATTAGAACAAGACGACATGAGAATTTTATACAAATACCTTACCACCTCCCTTTTTCCAAGGCACATGGAGCCTGAGGTACGATGGGGACCGTAGCTGCACACACTTACTCACATCCAGGGACACGGGGGGGCTGGTGGAGTGCGATGGTGGTGCGTGACAGCGTTTCTGATCATTGCTGATGTATATTTTGACTTAGTGTGATATTTATGTCGTTGTGTATCAGTTAGCACAGAAAACCACATGCAGCTCTCCTCCAGTGTGTGACATTCCGATGTGACGCAGAAAGCATCGTTTCATGTGTGTGTGTTGGTTTTGTGTGTTTTTGGGTTTTTTTTTTTTTTTTTTTTGAGGCGGAGTCTCGCTCTGTCGCCCAGGCTGGAGTGCAGTGGCCGGATCTCAGCTCACTGCAAGCTCCGCCTCCCGGGTTCATGCCATTCTCCTGCCTCAGCCTCCCGAGTAGCTGGGACTACAGGCGCCCGCCACCTCGCCCGGCTAGTTTTTTTTTATTTTTTAGTAGAGACGGGGTTTCACCATGTTAGCCAGGATGGTCTCGATCTCCTGACCTCGTGATCCGCCCGTCTCGGCCTCCCAAAGTGCTGGGATTACAGGCTTGAGCCACCGCGCCCGGCCCGTGTTTTTGGGTTTTTTTTGAGAGGAGTCTCGAACTTTTGCTGGGGGTGGAGAGGTTCAAGCAACTCTCCTTGCGTCGGCCTCACAAGTAGCTGGGATTTACAGGTGCCCGCCACCACGCCCAGCTAATTTTTTTGTATTTTTAGTAGAGACGGGTTTCACTATGTTGGCCAGGCTGGTCTCGAACTCCTGACCTCTTGATCTGCCCACCTTGGCCTCCCAAAGTGCTGGGATTACAGGCATTAGGCACCGCCCCCAGTCCAGAAAGCATGTTTTTAAGAAGAGTGAGTCATTGAGTAGAGGAAAAATTGGATGTTATTTTACTTTTAATTTATATATTTTATTTATTTATTGAGACAGAGTTTTGTTCTTGTTGCCCAGGCTGGAGTGCAATGGTGCAATCTCTGCTCACTGCAACTCCACCTCCTGGATTCAAACAATTCTCCTGCCTTAGGCTTCCGAGTAGCTGAGATTACAGGCGTCTGCCACCAAGCCCAGCTAATTTTTGTATTTTTAGTAGAGACGGCGTTTTACCATGTTGGCCAGGCTGGTCTTGAATTCCTGATCTCAGGTGATTCACCCTCCTCAGCCTCCCAAAGTGCTGTGATTACAGGCGTGAGCTGCCGCTCCTGGCTGAAAAATTGGATATTGGATCAGGTTCTAAAATCAGGTTTAGATCAGGTTAAAATGCCAGTGATCTTTAAAACAGTCGACCTGTGTCGTCTTCCCCTCTATCAACATGAGACCTAATTTTCAGTAGATGTTTTACTGCCGACCTGGCTTTCCACTCTAGTACTGAATTTCCCGGTTTTCCCAGAGAACTTGTAAATGATACCGCTGTGTTATCCCGAAAGTATTTTCAGAGCTTAACACACAAAAATCATTTGGCTCAGCTGAACTCTCTCTGCTTGTTCGTTCCCTCCCTCTTGTCCTCCTCCTATTTTTTTTTTTTTTTTTTTTTTTAGAGACAAGGTCTCACTGCGTTGACTCGTCTGGTCTCAAACTCCTGGGCTCAAGTAATCTGCCTGCCTCGGCCTCCCAAAGTGCCGGGATTATAGGCGTGAGCCACCTCACCTGGCCAAAACTTGAAAACCTAGCCGGGTGTGATCACACATGCCTGTATCTTGAGGCTGAGGTGGGAGGATTGCTTGAGCTCAGGAGTTCAAGGCTACAGTGAGTCATTATCATGCCGCACTGCATTCCAGCCTGGGCAACAGAACAAGATCCTGTCTCTAAAAGAAAAAGACAAATGGCATGGAACCAACTAGTAGATAATGAATGCTGTTTTTCAAAGCTTGGAAAATAAATAAAAAGTCTGATAAGTCATTCTCAACCTTAAATTTATTTGCAGTTAGCAGGAAGGGATTCTCCAATCAGAGCAGAAATGCCAGGAAATCTTCAGCACTATGGAAGGTAGGACTTCTGTTCTTTGATTTATGATACTGGCTTTTCTTTCTTCCTTTTCCTTTCTTTTTTTCTTGACTCAGAGTCTGGCTGTGTTACCCAGCCTGGAGTGCAGTGGCAAGATCTCGGCTCACTGCAACCTCTGCCTCCCAGGCTCAAGCGATTCTCATGCCTCAGCCTCCCCAGTAGCTGGAACTACAGGCACAAGCCACTATGCCTGGCTAATTCATTTTGTGTTTTTAGTAGAGACATGGTTTCATCATGTTGGCCTGGCTGGTCTTGAACTCCTGACTTCAAGTGATCTACCTACCTTGGTCTCCCAAAGTGCTGGGATTACAGGTGTGAGCTACCATGCCTGGCCTGTTATCTTTTTGGTAAAGATAATATGGACATTGAAATATCTTTGTGCCATCTGATTGACAGTAACCAACAAGGAAAGTTTATGTTTCCAATGAGTTAAAACTTACTTTAGCATACCCCGCCTTCTTTTTTTTTTTTTTTTTTTTTTTGAGATGGAGTGTCTGTCGCCCAGGCTGGAGTGTGGAGTACAGTGGCACGACCTCAGCTCACTGTAGACTCCGCCTCCCGGGTTCAAGCAATTCCCCTGCCTCAGCCTCTCGAGTGGCTGGGATTGCAGGTACCCACCACCACGCCGAGCTAATTTTTGTGTTTTTAGTAGAGACGAGGTTTTGCCATGTTGGCCAGGCTGCTCTTGAACTCCTGACTTCAGGTGATCCACCCACCTCGGCCTCCCAAAGTGCTGGGATTATAGGCGTGAGCCACCATGCCCGGCCAGCATATTCTGATACAGTGTTATCCAAATAGCACCTGGCATCAAAAGCAACTGGTGAATATTAAGTAGGAATGTGTTCTGTTTCTAGATTCCTGATTCTAATTCACCTCATTGAATCAAGTCATGTCTGTTCTTGCTTTTAAGATTTCTTACCGGACCCTTGAACCTTAATGATCCAGATGCAAAATGCAGATTCCCCAAAATTTTTGTAAATACAGATGACGCTTATGAAGAGCTCCATTTAATTGTTTATAAGGTAACAACCTTTTTCCCTCCAGCGTTACTGATTATTACTGAAGTCGATCTTTCTTGTACGTGTACACGAGTGCATATGCAAACCTCTTAAATGTTTCTTGGAAAAGATGTTGGAAGTTCTGATTATGGTAAAACTCAAAATGGGTGTTCTTCTAGAGTAATAAGTTTATTTTCAGCTCCTTTTAAACAGTTTTGTTATTAGTGAAAGAGGAACTGTTTAAGATGGTGATTCATAAACGTGTGAAGTCCCACGTGCTCTCAAACCAAAGGCTGTCAGAGGTTGGTGCTGCCTGTTCTCGAAATGGCTCCAGATGGGGGCCGTGGCCACATGTCTGTGCATGTTGCTTTTGCTCTGATTTTAAGGCTATAGGCTTGCTAATTCCATAAGGATCGTATTTGTTTCTGTCAGGACATCATCTTGTAAGGATATGTACTCAGGTTGTGTTTCTAATTAAAGGCAGTTTTTGGTTCAAGAAAGAAGTCGAGCATGCGTATGTGCTTCTCTTCTTTCCTGCCTGAGGCTGCGGAGAAGTTTTCATTCATAAAGGCTCAGAAATGATGCTGTTGGGGAACAGGAAGGAGCGGGGTGTGTCAGGATGAGGGAGTCCTGTCCCTCTCTGGAAGGTAGACGGGACTTGTCAGCCACGCCTGATGGAGGGCGGTGCCGGAACAGGCCTGGAATACGAGTGGCAACCCTGTGCTAAGGCAAAGGACCCACAGCCCTGTGGAAGCCCAGAGAAGCTCCTGACTTGGAGGAGGGGTCACCTGAGTTGTCAGAGTGGGGACTGGGCCTGGAAAGGTGGGGAAGTGAAGTAAAGTATGGCAGAGAGGCCAGTCAGCCTCCCCTTCCCCCATCCTTGCACATACAGTCCCGCGGCTGAGCATCCATCCCTGGGTGACAAGTGAGGGTCTGTTTAAAGAAAGGAAACAGTCTGAAGAGACCCCGAGTGGCTAACGTGGATGTCTGCCCCTGAGAATGAGGCCCTGCTCATTCTGGCATTTCTGTCTCCCAGACGGAACTGAGACCTTCATCCTCCACTCAGAGTGAAGCCTGGTGAGCCTTCTCGTTCCCTCATTGTTAAATATGGCTGCAAAACCAAAACTAGAGGTCTCAAAAGAAACAAAAATGATTCTGAGGACAGACAAGAACTTTAAAAAATTAGTATCCACTAATTAGAAGAGTTGTATCTATTAATAAAAAATTGAAATGGGCCAGGTGCAGTGCCAGCACTTTGGGAGGCCAAGGTGGGAGGATCACTTGAGGCCAGGAGTTGGGAGGCCAGCCTGGGCAACATAGTAAGACCCTGTGTCGACAGAAAAATGTTTAAAAATTAGCCAGGCGTGGTGGTGCTCGTCTGTAGTCCCAGCTGCTCAGGAGGCTGAGGCAGGAGAACCACTTGAGCCCAAGAGTTGGAGGCTGTAGTGAGCTATGATCACACCACTGCATTCTAGCCTGGGTGACAGAGTGAAACCCTGTCTCAAAAATAATGAAACTGGCATCAACAGTTTCATATCTAACACCAGACATTATGTGACAGTGGAAGAGAGACTTTCAGAGTTCTGGGAGAAGATGAATTTGAGCATAGAGTTCTTTGCCATGCCAAGCTGTCAACCACAGATGAGACAAAAGGAAGACATTATCCCAGGCACGGTGGCTCACGCCTGTAATCCCAACACTTTGGGAGGCCGAGGTGGGCGGATCACCTGAGGTCTGGAGTTCGAGACCAGCCTGGCCAACATGGGGAAACCCTGTCTCTACTAAAAATACAAAAAATTAGCCGGGCATGGTGGCACATGCCTGTAATCCCAGCTACTCTGGAGCTGAGGCAGGAGAATCACTTGTACCCGGGAGGTGGAGGTTGCAGTGAGCTGAGATTACGCCACTGCACTCCAGTCTGGGCAACAGAGCAGGACTCTGTCTCAAAAAAAAAAAACAAAAAAAAAAACGTTAAATATGAAAAGCCTCAAAAAGTTTACCCTCATGCACCCTTCCTCAGGGTGTCACACAGGGTCATGCGTCAGCAGAATAAGTGAACAAACCAGGAAAGAACAGTTGGGAATCCAGAGCAGTAGTTCTCACGCATGAGACGGTACAAGGAAATCTTGGGGTGATCAGGCTCTTAAGGTCTGCTGGCGACACCCCACCTCCAGCAGCTCCGTGACCAAGCAGGAGGAGGGAGGGCTCCAGGGTTCAAGCCGCCAAAATAAAAAGATGTTTCGTTCATCACGTGGTGTGCTTGAGAGAGTCAAAGTTGGGCTGTGACAGAGGCAGGGAAGGGGAGATTCCAGGAAGAGCCTACAGAAAGATGTGGTCGAAAAAGCAAACCCAAAATGTTGGAGGTGTAATTTAGAGCAGGAATTGGAGTAGGAAGAATGTCCATTTGTGGATCAGGCAAAAATTTGAGACCCCATCTCAAGAAAAAAATCATTCCCCTTTGAATGACCCAGGTAATGACTCTGAAATCTCCATAAGCCTGGTGTGTAATATGCTGTTCATGGCATTTCTGTTTTTAAAGTCAATCTATAGACATAATTTGGGGTGTGATAATGGGATTGTGGCTGTGTTAAAGGGTCCTTAATCTTTTTCTTAATGACTTTGAGATACAATGCACGTACCATACAACTCACCCTTGTACATTTAAAATGTACAATTTAGTGATTTCTAGTTGCAAAGTTCATGAGTCTCCAAGACCATCCTCACTTCTGACACCAGCTGCGAGTTTGGGAGTCCCCATGACCACCTTTAGGGTAAGAGTTCACTAGAAGTACCTCAGGACTCAGAAAAGGCTTTCTACAGCAGTATGCGCGAGCCAAAGGCCATGTGTTCCAGAACCCCCGGGGGTGCCTGAAACCAGGGACAGTACCAAACCCTGTACATACTGTGTTTTTCCTGTACATACATGCCTGCGATAGGCTTTCACAGCAGTACTTCTGAGCTAAAGTGTGCCATGTTCTAAACCCTCTGGAGTTTGAAACGATGTGATCACGAAAACCTGTACATACTGTGTTTTTCCCTGTATATATATTACATACTGTTTCATTTATATTCAAAGTAGTAAGAGATGAATAGCAATAATAAAGGTCAAACAGGCTCAGCACCTGCAACCCAGCACTCTGGAGGCCAGGCAGGATCACTCTGAGGCCAGGAACTTGAGACCACAGCCTGTGGCCAGTATGGTGAAACCTCCTGCCTCTACTACAAGTAAAAATATAAAACCCTCCAGCACATGGCAGGTATGCACATAATCCGTGCTACTCAGGAGAGGGAGTCAGGGGAGAACTAAATGAACCCTGGGAGGGTAGAGGTTGGGTGAAGAGAACCAAGATAGTGCCATTGTACCCAGCTCAATAAATAGAGTGAGACCCCATCTCATGCTATGTAACTATGATTGACAATAACACTGCAATAAAAGTAATGAGAAACGGTTTCGTTTCCTTACCAGAGTATTTTATTACACCATCTCAATGACTTAAACCAATGCTAAAACCAGGATATGAAGAATGTTAATATATTGTATTTATATATAGCAGTTAAATAATACAGGTTAAAATCAGCCTCTGCAGGCACATGGGCAGCCTATAATTTCTCCAATGGAAGAATGCAGGAATTAGCCCTTCCATTTGCTTTAGGTTTGTTTGGTTTTGGGTTTCTTGGTTTTTGGTTTTGGTTTTTGGTTATTTTTGAGATGGGAGTCCCGCCTCCGTAAGGTGAGCTGTTAGTCTCTCGCTTGGGGCTATGCGGACAGCACAGTGCTTGTTTCCCCATCGTGAGGATGTATGGTGTGCCCCTGTAGGCGGAGTGCTACATCCAGGGAAGCCTACCTGAGCCTCTCAGATCCAGAGTTTTACTGGGATTGGCATGACACACACAGCTGGCCCCCTGTGGTGGTGGTTTGCTCTTAGTCTCCAGCCTCCCAGAGGTGGGAGGAGCAGGTGCTGCACGTGGCTTGGGCTGCAAGGACATTGCATTCTGTGGTTTTTGCCTTCTCGTGATATCTTGGGTGGCAATGCTATATTCAACAGGAAACAAAGGGAAGTGTCTCTCCATTTTTTTGGAAGACAGTGAAGCACTGCAAGGGACCTCTTTATGTCTACAGAAATCTGGTTGTCGCTTCCCTGCATCTGGGCTTTTCTTGTGGGAAGTTTTAAAGACTGTGCGAGCGTCCATAGCTATTGGAACACTAAGCTTGTGAGTTATTTATATCCCGCTGAAGGCCACAGCTAAGGTCTCGCCTTTCACAGAGATTAACCTTCCAGAAGCAAATGCGCGACTTTTACTGTTGGAGGTTTGACCTGCCTCTTCTTTGAGCCAGCCTTGGTAGTTTGTAGTCTTCAGGAATTTGTCAGCCTGTTCTGATTTGATTTGCCTGGTAATGGTTTTGGTGGCATTACAGGTAAAGCTTCATGCCACCTTCCCTGCTTTTCCCAAAGTCAGTAGTGATGTCTCTCTTCTGGCCCCTGGTTTTGTGTAATTTGAGTCTTCTGTTTGTTTCTTTTTTGATCTCACATGCCCAGCTGGAAGGTTTCTCAAGCATTGGGAATCTCACAAAAGCAAAAGTGCTCTTCATAATGCTGGTCTTTCACAGAACCATTTAGTTCATTTATTTTCATGATTTCCTTTCCTGCCTAAGCTCTTTGTTTCTGCCTCAATCTTTATAGTATTTCTCCATTTGCCAGTTTTTTTTTCTTTTGAGCAGTCCCACTCTGTCACCCAGGCTGAGCACTGCACAACCTCGCTCACTGCAACCCTGCCTTCCAGGTTCACGATTCCCTCTCGCCAGCCTCCCGAGTGGCTGTGGGATTGTGGTGCAGCACACTCCACCACGCCTAGGCTATTTCAGGGATTTTTCTTTGAGAGACGGAGCTACCATGTTAGAAGGGTCTCCAAATCCCCAACTCAGGTGATCCACAAGCCTCCGCTCCCAAAGTGCTGGGGACGGCAGGTGAGCTATACCGCACCCAGCCCCCACTTGCTGGAAAGCCGAGCTGGGATTCTCTTCAGGTCCAGTGACCCAAGAGGAAAAGCGCCAGGCCACCGACGAGTGGAAAAGACCTCAATGCTGAGAGAGACCTCCTGCCTTTGAAGTGGGAAGAGGCACGGGGCAGGTGGGAGGTGATTTGGGTGGAGCCAGAGCCCGTGCTGGTGGGAAGGGCGCAGCTGAGGAAATAGAATAAATAGCTTAAACCAAGTATGGCAGAGGAGGTGAGGGGGGAAGGCAGATGAGGGGTCACACACGTCATGACATGAGCAGGAAATACGATGTCTAAAGAGGATACCTAAAGAGTTAGGATAAGCCCATTGTCTAATAACAGTTTAAAGTGGTTGCCGGGGAGGAGAGCTCAGAGAAGGAAGTCTGTGGCTTTCACCGTCAGGCTTGATAGGCTTGATGTTCTTTTGAGCCTTTTTTTTTTTTTTTTTGGAGACAGAGTCTCGCTCTGTCGCCCAGGCTGGAGTGCAGTGGCGGGATCTTGGCTCACTGCAAGCTCTGCCTCCCGGGTTCACGTCATTCTCCTGCCTCAGCCTCCTGAGTAGCTGGGACTACAGGCACCCGCCACCACGCCTGGCTAATTTTTTGTATTTTTAGTAGAGACGGGATTTACTATGTTAGCCAGGATGGTCTCGATCTCCTGACCTCGTGATCCACCTGCCTCGGCCTCCGAAAGTGCTGGGATTACAGGCGTGAGCCGCCGCGCCCGGCCTGCTGAGCCTTTTTTAACCATGATTGCTTGGATGAATGTTACACATTTTTGCTTATCTGTGGTCCTGGTTGTTGTAGGTTGCTGTGTCTATGTCATCACATAATTATTTGCTATAATAAAGTGAGACAAGGTGATATCCATTTACTGTCTTTGTAAACTTGTGTCAGTGGAAATCGTCACAGAATAATTGACACTTTCTGCCAATTCTCTCTCTGGAATATACACAGAGAGACGAAAACCGTGAGCCCCTAAGTCCCCATCACACAAGTGAATAAGATTCTGGTTTTGTTGCCTCTCCGTGTTGTGTTGTTGGGTTTGCAAGAGCATTTTAAGTCCTCACGTCAGTCACGGACACTTCCCTGTGCTCTCTGAGGAGGACGTCTGTGGTCACCTCCCCACAGGCACTGTCACACCTGACAAGGTGCACAGCGCTCCCCTCGCATCACGGAATGGGCAGCCTGTGTCCAGATGGCTCTGGTTGACTGAAAAATATCTTTTTACCATTGATTTGTCCCCGTCGACTTTGAACAGATTGTGATTATATGAAAGTCTCCTTTTTTCTACCGTTTCATAACCTTAGGTTTGTTCTCTTCCCAGGCCATGAGTGCGGCTGTGTGCTTTATGATCGACGGTGGGTACGCGCCTTCGTCTCATTTCAGCCTGACTAGGCTTTTTGTACTTTGCTGCGTCCTGTTCTTAAATGATAAATATGTTTTGGGGATTTCAGTTGTTTGGGGGTTTTTTGTTTGAGACGGGGTTTCACTCTTGGAGCGCAATGGCACGATCGTAGCTCACTGTAGCCTCGACCTCCTGCGTTCAAGTGATCTTCCCATCTGAGCCCCCCAGGTCACTGGGACCTGCCAGCCCACACGGCTGCACCCAGCTAATGTTGTTGTTGTTTAGACAGGGTCTCGCTGTGTTGCCCAGGCTAGTGTCAAACTCCTGGGCTCAAGTGATCCCCCCACCTTAGCCTCCCAAAGTGCTGGGATTTCGGGTGGGAACCCCCACACCCAGCCCATTAAATGATACATGTGTTGTCGTCAGCAATGTAGAGGCACAGAGAGGAGCCTGTTCCCCATCTGGGACCCCCCTGGCTCCTGAACTAGCCATTGCTCGTATTTTTTAAGTCCTAGTCGTCCCACTTGTCAGCAGAATGTGGGCATCTTTCTGTGCCCCGCCACGCGAGCTGGAGACAGCAGTGGTACCTCTCCCGGGGGGCTCTGAGGATTGAATGAGGTCATGTGTTTGAAGCACCAAACAGCACCTGGCCCGTGAGTGCTGTGTAATGTTTGTTAAATAAACACACGACCTTCTGAGGCGTTTCTGGGGTCGGCAGCCGTTTACCACCCCACAGGGTGCACCTCAGTCACCTTTGCACAGTGAGAGGTCTTTGCCTTTTTCCATCTGAAACGTAACCGGTTTTCCATCTTGTTTCTCTTGTATTTGAGGAGCAGGAGGGGCCTGAGCGTTTCATCGTTTGCTTTCCCAGATCAGTGACGTTTTCGTTTGAATACAGTTGTTCAGCATCGGACAGTCCCGTGAATCTTACCGGTTTGTTTTGTCATGACTTGCCAGCCTCTATCCAGCCAACACTGGATTTTTGCCGAAGACTGGACAGCGTCGTCGGGCCCCAGCTCACGGTGCTGGCCTCTGACATCTGCGAGCAGTTTAACATCAACAAGAGGATGTCTGGGTTTGTACTTTGCTTTCTGTTCACGTTCACGCATTGAGCGGCTTTTAAAACACGTGTAGTTTTCCTTACAGATGTGGGTGGTGGTAACAGTCCTGTGCTCTCGTGGAATCTAGAGAATGGTGATACGTGCCATTCAGGCCTGTCGGAAAGGGTCCTGGGGAAGCCGACCTGAGTTTTTCTGCCCCGTGATGGCAGCTGGGGCTGGGTCTTCTGTTAAATACCTTCCCTCAGCTCCCCGCTGATTGGAACATCCCATTTCACTGGCCCAGATGGTTACGTTCATATAGGCAGTATTCAGCATGGTTTTGGTGTGCGCAGACTGAAAGCAATTTGCCTCTCGTTGTGTGAAAATGTGTAGGGGAAACCGGCTGGGATGTGGGGCATTGGGCCTGGGTACTCAATGTGGCGGCCTGAAGGGTCTACACTGAGTGGGAGAGGCAGGATTTGCTCCTCCAACTCTCTAGACACTGAAACATCCTTGAATTCTTCCTCCCTAGCTTTTGAGACAAAGTCTCACTCTGTCACCCAGGCTGGAGTATGCAGTGGCCTGATCTCAGCTCACTGCAGCCTCCGCCTCCCAGGTTCAAGCGATTCTCATGCCTCAGCCTCTCGAGTAGCTGGGATTATAGGCGTGTACCACCATGCCGGGCTAATTTTTATATTTTTAGTAGAGACGGGGTTTCACTGTGTTGGCCAGGTTGGTCTTGACCTCAAGTGATCCACCCGCCTCAGCCTCCCAAAGTGCTGGGATTACAGGTGTGAGCCACCGCACCCAGCCTTCCCTATCTTTTCTCAATATAAAATAGTTATTATAAAGTAAAAAGTGAGGTCATGGAAAGCCCTTTGCGAAGTTGAGTCCTGCTTTTAAATGGGCTCTCTACACCTTTGAAAAGTTACTAAAATGCTGTGCATTTCGGCATAAGCTCATGTTCTTAGTGTTCATACTTTTTTTGGGTTTTCTTTGAGACGGAGTCTCGCTCGGTCACCCAGGCTGGAGTGCAATGGCATGATCTTGGCTCGCTGCAACCTCCGCCCTCCCAGGTTCAAGCGATTCTCCTGCCTCAGCCTCCTGAGTAGCTGGATGCCATCATGCGTGGCTAATTTTTGTATTTTTGTAGAGATGGGGTTTTACCGTGTTGGTCAGGCTGGTCTCGAACTCCTGATCTTGTGATCCGCCCGCCTCAGCCTCCCGAAGTGCTGAGATGATAGGTGTGAGCCACCGCGCCCGGCCCATATGTTATTTCTGTGTGGTCTTGTATAAGCGTGGGCCTCTGAGAGTGCAGAAGCGAGCGAAGGTGAAAGCACATGTAGATTTTGGTGTGTGGATTACTGCTGTCAACAGCTTACATCTTCGTTGGTTTTTGCTTGTTTTTGTTTTTTGAGACAGAGTTTCTTTCACTCTTTCACCCAGGCTAGAATGCGGTGGCACGATCTCAGTTCACCGCAACCTCCAGCCCCTGAGTTCAAGCAATTCTCCTGCCTCAGCCTCCCAAGTAGCCGGGACTACAGGCAGGTGCCACCATGCCCAGCTCATTTTTGTATTTTTTAGTAGAGATGGGGTTTTGCCATGTTGACCAGGCTGGTCTTGAACTCCTGACCTCAGGTGATCCACCCACCTCGACCTTCCAAAGTGCTGGGATTACAGGCATGAGCCACCACGCCTGGCCAGTAGCTTACATGTTGACAGTGCTGCTGAATCATTAAATTCTTTGACCATAAAAATACCAGGTTTTCCTTTGTGAAGGAGGCATAAGTGATTTAAATCGATTTGGATCATGCAGGTTATCAACTAACAGATGGAAAGTGACAAAGTGTAGTGACCACAGAGAACGCGTCACCTGTTCTTTTTTTTGTGTGGGTTTTTTTGGAGACAGGGTCTCCTGCTGTTGCCCAGGCTGGAGTGCAGTGGCGCAATCATGGCTCACTGCAGCCTTGACCTCCCACGCTCTAAGTGATCCTCCCACCTCAGCCACCCGGCTGTAGAGCTAGGACTACAGGTGTGCGCCACCACGCCTGGCTAATTTTTGTATTTTTTGGTAGAGACAGGGTTTCGCCGTGTTGCCCAGCTGGTCTTGAACTACTAGGCTCAGGCAATCCTCCCTCCTTGGCCTCCCAAAGTGCTGGGATTACGGGCGTGAGCCACCGCTCCTGGCCCCACAGAGTGTTTTGAGGATAGAAGCTTACACCCGATTTAAGTTCCTTGTCTATGCAGACGACTAAATTTGCAACTCTTTCCAGTTTTTCTTGTCATTATACTTTCCTTAGCCTTAGGGAGCTACTGAAAACAAAATCTGGTTTTATAAGAAGTTTCTTTTCACGTTCCTGGAAACTAAATCCTCCACTTTCTTTCTTTGCCTAGATGTAGAGTATTTCAGTAGTACCCCACTTGTTCGGAGGTCGGATTTCCGGCACCCCCAGCCCTCCAGAACATGGCTGCTAACCCCAAAGCAAGCAGAGGCGGCTTCTGAGCCCAGGGGCGGGGCTGTGCTCAGGCTCCATCCCAGGCCCCAGGGTGTGCAGTGAGGGTGCAGTGAGGGGAGGAGAGGGGCCCTGGGAGGGGGCGAGGCTCAGCTTTTCCCACTAGGTCCCCGAGGAGGTCACAGACGCTGACCTGGGAGGCAGTGTCACAGCATTGCCCAGTTTAGGACATAAAAAGGTATATCCCATTTAAAATGTTCATTAGACTGCAGTGGAAAAGGTGACTGAGTTTTACAGTGATTTCCACTGGGGATGATAGGAGGAAAAGCTTTGTTACATACATAGTGTCGTAGGCTTCAGTCACGAGGCAGGTTCATTTCCACAGGACGCTCCTTCCCCGCACTGGGGGAGGAATGAGATGTTACTCTCCCAACTCAGCGGTCAGCAGCCTTTTTCGGTAAAGGACCAAATAAGAAGCATTTCGGACGTCCCGGGCTGTATGTAGATGTATGTGTTACAACTACTCAACTGTCATTTTGGTGGGAAAGCAGACAACACATGAACGTGTGGCAATGGCGATGCTCCCATGAAACTTTTAGAAAAAGAGGGCCGGGCGCGGGCACTCATGCCTGTCTGTAATCCCTGCACTTTGGGAGGCCGGGGCGGGCGGATCACAAGGTCAGGAGAGCGAGACCATCCTGGCCAACATAGTGAAACCCCGTCTCTACTAAAAATACAAAACTTAGCTGGGCGTGGTGGTGCATGCCTGTAATCCCAGCTACTCAGGAGGCTGAGGCAGGAGAATTGCTTGAACCCGGGAGGTGGAGATTGCAGTGAGCCGAGATTGTGTCACTGCACTCCAGCCTGGGTGACAGTGAGACTCCATCTCAAAAAAATTTTATAAAAATAATCTAGTTGTATCGTTTGGTTATATCCATCCAGGGTATTACCATCTTTGTGACATGTTTGTACAGGTCTGAGAAAGAACCCCAGTTTAAGTTTATTTACTTCAACCACATGAATCTGGCCGAGAAGAGCACAGTTCACATGAGGAAAACGCCCAGTGTGTCACTCACTTCCGTGCACCCGGATTTAATGAAGATTCTCGGTGACATCAACAGTGACTTCACCAGGTGATTCCAGCCACTTCTCCAATCAGGTGTCCCCTTTCTAAGAAAAAGGACACGGAAAGTCCCTACAAAGCTAAATGACCCAGAGCCCTTTCCATGGGGTTCAAGCTTGAACCACCTTCATGGGTGCCACTTCCAAACACACACTTGGGAGCCCCTAAGTCACCGGTTCCCTCGCCCAGGACTCCCTGAGCCTTTTAAATGCCATGTGCGCCCGTTCCATTTCCTGTTCTCGTTTTGGAATGCTTGCTTTCCCCGTCTAGCCATGTGAATAACGAACGGCGCGTTCTGAACTCTCCTCTTGCAGAGTGGATGAGGATGAGGAGATCATCGTGAAGGCCATGAGTGATTACTGGGTTGTTGGAAAGAAGTCTGATCGGCGGGAGCTCTATGTTATTTTGAATCAAAAAAATGCAAACCTGATTGAAGTAAACGGTAAGTAGGATTTGATGTTTCAGGAGAATTTTAATGCTGCTGATATGGAAAAGTTGTTTTTTCACTGTATTAAACCTGGTTAAAAAATAGAAACATGAGAAATAGAACAAATCATGTCTGCTGAGATTGTAAGCAGGTGCCTTTACTCAACATTTGGTCCCTTTTCTCTTCCTTGGAAAACTGACAGGACTTTCCTGTAGCACAGGAAACTTGACAATGGCCCAAAGAAAATTATTTTCTACAATGCTAAAAAAAAAAAAAAAAAAAGTAACTTTACTGTGTATTAAGAAATGTCCCCTTTTTGGAGACAGGGTCTCACTTTGTCACACAGGCTGGAGTGCAATGGTGCAATCATAGCTCACCACAGCCTCCAACTCCTAGGCTCAAGCAGTCCTCCCACCTCAGCCTCTCGAGTAGCTGAGCCCACAGGCATGTATCACCATACCCGCTAATGTTTTTTTTTTTGAGACGGAGTCTTGGTCTGTTGTCCAGGCTGGGCTCAAACTCCAGGCCTCAAGCGATCCTCCGGCTTCCCAAAGAGCTGGGATTATAGGCAGGAGCCACCTTGCCCAGCCCCAAATGTCCTTTTTTAATATCCTGTGATATAAATGTATCTTTTGTAGGGAGAAGCTGCCAGGTTCATGTGGCCGTTTACAATGATCCCTCTGAACACCGGCAGAATGATAAGGCATTTTCTCCTGCCTGCCCTCCCGCCAAAGCGGCCAGCCATGCCCACCGCACGGGGTGACCCGGCAGCTGCTCTGCTGACAGCTCGGCTGCCCTGGAGAGAGGGGACCTCGCCTCGGCAGAGCTGCCCCCTTGGGCAATGCCCCATATGTACACTGTGTGGAAATTCAGTGTAAGCGTCTTTTTTTTCCCCTTGTATCTTCTCAGGCATACTAAATTTTTCTATTATTAACACTTGTATTAGTAATTGTGTGCATTAGAAACATCACTTAATACAAGCCTGATCTAAACTGAATTCGATAAGATCAAAATCCTGACACGTCTGCAGGGCGCTGGGTCTGCAGCTCAGGGTCACTGTCAGTTTCTCTGTTGTTCCATCAGTTCTCCCAGGATGACGACAGCGCCAGCCTCGTGCTTCTAACCCCCTCACCCGGGTGTCCTGGGCACTTTGCTTGCAGTTCCTCAGGCCCCGGGCAGCAGTGTTATATGCTCAGAACTACTGAGGCCTGGTCGGTTTCTTAGGTGGTTTTCTCCCCTCTTGTTAACATTTCTTGGCTGGGCACAGTGGTTCATGCCTGCAGTCCAGCACTTTGGGAGGCCAAGGTGGGCGGATCACCTAAGGTTAGCAGTTCAAGACCAGCCTGGCGAAACCCTGTCTCTACCCAAAAATACACAAATTAGCCGGGCGTGATGGTGTGCAACTGTCGTCCCCGCTACTTGGGAGGTGGAGGCTGCAGTGAGCCAAGATCACACCAGATCACACCACTACACTCCAGCCTGGGTGACAGAGCAAAACTCTGTCTCAAAAAAAAAAAAAAGGTTCTTGCCTAGTCTTCTGGGATTTAAGGTCAAAATCAATGCAAATACCTATTCCTAATTTTACCCAAGAAGAATTGAATTATATGTCACATAACCATTGAAGTGAGCGCCTCGTCCTTCCTCACTGTTGTCTGTCCTTTTTGCAGAAGAGGTCAAGAAACTCTGTGCAACGCAGTTCAACAACATCTTCTTCTTGGATTGACTGATGATGGCTCACCGAAAGCGTATTTAAAAGACACTCGGCAAACATTTGGTCATATGCAAGTTACTGGTCATACGACGGACTACATTCAGGACAAGGGAAAAGCAATACCTGCTTGGAAGACTCACATTTCTACTCGGTCTCCTGCTCTCCTGAGGTTTTTAGATTTTAAATATTTATGTGGAATTAATTAAAGGTAGTTGACTCTATCTCTATCATTCCATTCTTTTGACATTATGTGAATATTTTACTGGAAAATAAGATTAATAAATTGTTAAAGTTTTTAAAATTCTGGTTTTATGTTGAGTCTCCTGCTGCCTATTTGTAGATTACAGCAGCTACCAGGTCCGTGACCCAGGCTGGAATGCAGTGGCTCACGGCACCCTCAATCTCCTGGGCTCACTGCAATCCTCCCGCCTCAGCCTCCCAAGAAGCTACAACCGCAGGTACACACCACCACACTCGGCTAATTTTTTAATGTTGTAGAGACGGGGTCTCACTGTGTTGCCCAGGCTGGTCTCAAACTCCCATAATCTAGCCATGTAGGAAACCTGAGATGCAGTGGGCCAGGCGGTATTTTAAAACACTGCAACGAGTACAGTGCTAAGAACTGTAATGCTCAGGAAATCTTACAGCATGTGCCGTCCTAAGCCTCTGTGTGTGTCTTCGTGGCTCGCTACTTTTTCTTCTTCTTGCTGGTGATGGTCTTGCTGGATGGGGACACGTTCACGTCCTCCTTGGGAGGGTCCCGTGTGAGGTGAGAGGATGACACGTCCACTGGCTCCTTGATCACCATGATGTCCACCTCACAGTCTTGTCTCTTGGCTTCTTCCTCTCTCAAGATAAACATCTTCAGCCTGAAAGCAAACATGAGAAGGTGGGAGCTTTTTTCAGTCCCCCTCAAAACGGCAAAAACAGTTTGATGCTATTTGTAGTATACGGCCCTTCAGACCTCCATTTCAGCAGCGTGTTAAACAGAACTAAGCTGCTACGCTTTGCCTGAAATAACTGATGCCATGTCCACATAGTCCAAAGTAAACTTTTCATGTATCTATGAAAAGAAAAATTTTTTTTTGAGACAGAGTTTCACTCTTGTTGCCCAGGCTGGAGTGCAATGGTGCAATCTTGGCTCACTGTAACCTCTGCCTCCCCAGTTCAAGTGATTCTCCTGCCTCAGCCCCCTGAGTAGTGGGATTACAGGCTTCCACCACCACGCCCAGCTAATATTTTGTATTTTTAGTAGAGATGGGTTTCACCAGGTTGGCCAGGCTGGTCTCAAACTCCTGACCTCAGGTGATCCACCTGCCTCAGCCTCCGGAAGTTACATATGTGTGCGTGTGTGTATACATATATAATATTATACATAATTTTGAGATGGGGTCTTGCTGTGTTGCCCAGGCTGGAGTGCAGTGGCACAAACACATCACTGCAGCCTCAACTCCCAGGCTCAAGCAATCCTCCTGCCTCAGCATCCAGAGTAGCTGGGACTATAGGCGCCTGCCATCACAGCTGGCTAATTTCTGTATTTTTTGTAGAGCTGAGGTCTTGCTGTATCACCCAGGCTGGTCTCAAACTCAAGGGATCCCCCTGCTTTGGTCCCCCAAAGTGCTGGGGTTACAGGCATGCGCCATGATGCCCAGCTCGTTTGGGGATTTTATGGAGGGTCCAATATGTAGACCCGATTAAGTCACTGGCTATCAGTTATTGAACTCAAGCTCCAGCCCCTCTTCCTTCCTGGGAGGTTGGGCTGGAGCTGAAAGTCCCAATCCTCTAATCTCCTGGTTGATTCCCTGGCAAACAGCTCCAGCAAGAAGCTATCGAGGGCCCCTCCCCTGGCCCCCAGTCATCTCATCATACAAAAGCCAGTCATTACCCCGAGAGTCCACAGCTTTTGAAGCTCTTGGGGCAAGAACTAGAAAATGGCTGTGTGCAGTGACTCACTGCTGTGATCCCAGCACTTTGGGAGGCCAAGGCAGGCGGATCACTTGAGGTCAGGAGTTCGAGACCAGCCTGGACAACCTGGTGAAACCCCGTCTCTACTAAAAATACAAAAATTAGCCAGGCGTGGTGGTGCACGCTTGTAATCCCAGCTACTCGGGAGGCTGAGGCAAGAGAATCACTTGAATCCAGGAGGCAGAGGTTGTAGTGAGCTGAGATCATACCACTCCACTCCAGCCTGGGCGACAGTGAGACCCTGTCTAAAAAAAAAAAAAAACTAGAAACTAAGACCAAATGTTAGAACCAAAGATGCTCCCACTACCCCATTACTCAGGAAGTTACAAAGGCTTCAGGTGCTCTGCCAGGAACAGAGACCAAATACTCATTCCTTTTTATGTCAAAGACGCCCTTAGGAAATGATAGGCCTGTCCGGAAAGCATGGGTCCTGATGCACTGTGGCAGCTACAGAACACAGGATGGAGAGAGAGCAGCTCGGGAAGGAGCGGAGGGACCTCGTAAGTTACCTTGCTTCCAGTTCGTCATCTTCCATCTTCCGCTGCTGGGCCCGCGCTGTGCTGCGTAACCTCTCTTCCCTTATTTTCTCCTTGATAACTTCTTCACGTTTATACGCGTGAAAGAGCGTGTTCACAAAGAAGACGTACATACTATTGACCCACGTGTTGAACTCTTCCTTTTGATCATCCTTGGGTCTCTCGTATTTCTCTGGAATAGAGTTTCATGAAGCTGAACATGAATACAATCCTGCTGTAAACTGGGAGTCTGCGTGCTTTTTCTCGTTCTGGCCTCCCTGCGGTGGGCCCCCTGCTCCTCGGCCAGGAGAGGGGAGAGGAGAAAGGATGCTGCTCCCATGACTGCCTGGAACAAGGCAGGGGCTCAGTAGACCCTGGCTGGGATTATCAACCTTCCCTTTGAGTTTCCTGCTACCTCATTTTTGTTTTGTTTTGTTTTTTTTTTTTTGGAGACAGAGTCTTACTCTGTCACCCAGGCTGGAGTGCAGTGGCGTGATTTCAGCTCACTGCAACCTCCACCTCCCGGGTTCAAGTGATTCTCATGCCTCAGCCTCCCGAGCTCCCCAGTAGCTACAGGCATGTGCCATCACACTCGGCTAATATTTGTATTTTTAGCAGAGATGGGGTTTCACCATGTTGGCCTGGCTGGTCTGGAACTCTTAACCTCAGGTGATCCACCCACCTCAGCCTCCCAAAGTGCTGGGATTACAGGCATGAGCCACTGCGCCTGGCCACCTCTTTTTGTTTCTAAATATCTTAAGAATAGTGGGTTTTCTGATATTTTAATTTTCCATGTTTTCAAGAATAATAAATCCTTGTTTCTTGCTTTTTTTTTTTTTTTTTTTTGAGACAAGGTCTCACTCTATTGCCCAGGCTGGAGTACAGTGGCATGACCATGGCTCACCGAAGCCTGGAGGAACTCCTGGGCTCAAGTGATCCTCCCATCTTAGCCTCCCTGATAGCTGAGAATAGAGCAATGCACCACCACACAAGGCTAATTTTTTTAGTTTTGAGACAAGATCTCGCTCTGTCATCCAGGCTGGAGTGCAGTGGCACCATCATGGCTCACTGCAGCCTCCATCTCCTGGGCTCAAATAATCCTCCCACCTCAGCCTCCCAAGTAGCTGGGACCACAGGCGGGTGCCACCACACCCAGCTAATCATTGTTTTTGTTGTAGAGACAAGGTTTCGCTATGTTGCCCATGGCCTCAAATTCCTGAGCTCTAGTGATCCTCCCATCTGGGCCTCCCAAAGTGCTGGGATTACAGGCGTGAGTCACCGTACCCGGCCTAGGTCTTGGGGACAAAATATTCAATATCTTGTATTTATTCAGAGTTTGAAACCCCTTTAAGACAAGGATAGCTATGTACCTGAGTGAATCCTCTCTCCCGGAGAACTAGACAACCGGTCACTCTCACAAAAGGAATTTCCTAGTAGTTAGAGTTATCCCTCTCTCTCTCTTTCTTGTCTAGGCTAAAGAATCTCTAAATATTAAACTACCATAATTTTTTCCATCTTTTTAAGCAATTTTGGTTATCCAGTCACTTGGAAGGTTTTAAAATTCAGAAATCACATTATACGCAATCCAGGACTCTAAGGTCAGAATGAGACAGAATATCCTGCCTCGGCCTCCCAAGGTGCTGGGAGTACCGGAGCGTGCCACCATGCCTGGTGAATTTTGATATTTTTTTTGTAGAGACAGGGGCTTGCTTTGTTGCCCAGGCTGGTCTCAGACTCCTGGGCACAAGTGATCCTCCTGCCGTGGCCTCCCAGAGTTCTGGGCTTACAGCTGTGAGCCACTGCACCTGGCAGCAACATTGTCTTATGTTCATTCATGAACTCTCAACTAGACACCTACAAGCTGGAGGACAGTCGGTCACGGCTGCCACATGCAACAATCAGATGAAATGGTACTGGAAGAGATGCCACGTGGGTCAAGGGGGCCCTTGACAGGAGACAGGGCAGGAGCCACAGGTCTGGTGAATGGCACACTGGACTTAAGGAATGACCAGAGAGGATCCAGGGCATAATCCAGCTGGAGCTGGGACTAGAGATAATCAGATCAACAGGAAAGCACATTAGCTGGGGTTCCACTTCCAGTTCTATTTCTGTTCCAGGAACTGTGCATCTTGTTACGGCACTGCAGGAATGCCCTGTCTCTGCTGGGATGCCGAGCTCTGCGGGAGAAAATGACAACCCACAGACTCGCACCAGAGGGAGAAGAAACCAAGGACGTCAAGGGGTCGCAGAGGCCGAACGCGAAGAGTGTTTCAAGAAGCTGACGGTTTTCCTAACTATGGAGAGATCGGTTCAAGAGACGGCAGGATTCCTGGGGGTGGCAACATGGAGGCACTGCTGATGAAGAGGGGCCTTCAGTGGCCTGGGGAGGGCAGTGCGACGTGGAGCAAGCTAAGAAGACACAGGAGAGGACCTGGAGAAGGCGTTGCATGTATACAGCTCCCTAAGATGCATCGGCAAAGGGAGCAGGGAAGGAAAGTGGGATCTAGAGGGGAAGGTGAGGGAAGAGATTTTCCCTTTCTTTCTTTTTTTTGTTTGAGACAGAGTCTCACTCTGTCACCCAGGCTGGAGTGCAGTGGCATGGTCTCAGCTCAGTCTGTCGCCCAGGCTGCAGTGCAGTGGCATGGTCTCAGCTCAGTCTGTCGCCCAGGCTGCAGTGCAGTGGCATGGTCTCAGCTCAGTCTGTCGCCCAGGCTGCAGTGCAGTGGCATGGTCTCAGCTCAGTCTGTCGCCCAGGCTGCAGTGCAGTGGCATGGTCTCAGCTCAGTCTGTCGCCCAGGCTGCAGTGCAGTGGCGTGGTCTCAGCTCACTCTGTCGCCCAGGCTGCAGTGCAGTGGCGTGGTCTCAGCTCACGCTGTCGCCCAGGCTGCAGTGCAGTGGTGTGGTCTCAGCTCAGTCTGTCGCCCAGGCTGGAGGGCAGTGGCATGGTCTCAGCTCACTGCAACCTCTGCCTCCGGGGTTCAAGCAGTTCTCCCACCTCAGCCCTGAGTAGCTGGGACTACAGGGGAGCGCCACCACACCCAGCTAGTTTTTTTATTTTTAGTAGAGATGGGGTTTCACTGTGTTGGCCGTGCTGGTCTCCAACTCCTGACCTTGCGATCCACCCGCCTCGGCCTCCCAAAGTGCTGGGATTACAGGCATGAGCCACGGCGCCCGGCCGAGAGAAGAGATTTTCCTAACTGGGCATATGGAGCACGTGTGTGCCGACGGGAACGATCCATTAGAGGAGGAGTGACGGGAAATGACAGGCACTGTAGAACTGATACACGGGGGAGGCCTCAGAGAGGACAAGGGCCTGGGATGGAGCCTTTAAAAGTTCACCACTGAGTGGGTGGCCAGCCAGAGAGAGACACCGTCAGAAAAGGGGGAAGGCCAGGCACAGTGGCTCACACCTGTAATCCCAGGGCTTTGGGACACCAAGGCGGGAGGATCACTTGGGCCCAGGAGTTAAAGACCAGCCTGGGCAACACAGCAAGACCCCACCTCTTTAAAAAAAAAAAAAAAAAAAAAGGCCAGGCGCGGTTGGGCTCCTACCTGTAACCTCAGCACTCTGGGAGGCCGAGGCGTTCAGACCCAGGAGTTCTTGGATCCAGGAGTTTAAGACCAGCCTGGGCAACATAGCAAGACCTCACCTCTTTTTAAAAAAAAAAAAGCCAGGCGTGGTTGGTCTCACACCTGTAATCTCAGCACTTTGAGGCTGAGATGGGCAGATCACCTGAGGTTAGGCATTGGAGACCACCCTGGCCAACATGATGAAACCCCTTCTCTACTAAAAATACAAGGCGCAGTGACGGGTGCCTGTCATCCCAGCTACTAGCGAGGCTGAGGCAGGAGAATTGCTTGAACTGAGGAGGCGGAGGTTGCAGAGCTATGATGGCACCACTGCACTCCCGGCCTGGTGACAAAGTAAGACCTTGTCTCCAAAAGAAAGAAAGAAAAAGAAAAGAAAAGAAAGAAAGAAAAGAAAAGGAAGATCTTATAGCCAAGTTTAATCAAGGGAAACACACATGCAACTGGTACAGCAAAGTATTGCGCAGAAAATTCCTATGACACTGATCACCGCTTGATGACCCTGAGGAAAGGAGAGGCGGAGGTTGGAAGTTCATGTGGACAGGGCTGAGGAATGAAACCAGAAGGAGTGGCGGTGAAACAAGAGGCCTCAAGAGCCATCCTCCCAGGATAAAGGGAAAAAACAGCATACGAGGTGAGGAGGGATGAGTGGAAGTGAATATGATTGTTTGTTGGTTTTAATTGGAGTACCTTTAAAACCTGGGGAGTGAGAATGAGACTCCGGAGAGAGGCCTGGAGAAAACAATACAGTCAGGCAGCAGCAGACTCTGAGACGGGGCGCAAGGGCCTGTGGGGAGGCCCAGCTGTCCCATCTCGCCTCTGCCCCTCACAGACTGAGTCAGCGCAGCAAGACTACACTGAACTTGAACTCCAAACCAGAGGAGAATGAAGCAGCTAGACTAACTCATTGTTTAAAAAAAGACAGTTGTGCTGGGTGTGGTGACGCCCTATTTGTAATCCTAGCTACTCGGGAGGCGGAGGTGGGAGGGATCGCTTGAGCCCAGGAGTTCAAGACCAGCCTGACAACATAGCGAGATTCTGCCTCACCAAGAAAACAAAAAATGTAAAAGGCACACTGTCACACAGGTAATTCATAAGCAAGCAGTTTGTAAATATTGTTGTCTACGCAAAAAACACCCTACCGCCCCAGCAGTTGAAAAAAGGACTTTTTCCATAGATTGAAAATTCATTTGAGACTCTTCATCACTTAGAGACTTCTTGATCTTGGGCTTACATTTTAAAAAATTTGAAGTGCACGTTACTTTACATCACTGTGGGTTTATAAATCACTTTGCTGGCACTTGAATTAATTAGCAAAACACAACAGTAAATGGCCTTCCCTGAGCTAATTTGACTTTCTATTTGATTTTTTTTTTTTTTTGGAGACAGAATCTCAGGGTGTTCTCTCTGCTGCCTAGGCTGGAGCATACTGAGCCGATCTCTGAAGCTCACTGCAGCCTCCACCTCTCGGGTTCCAGTGATTCTCCTGCCTCAGCTTCCCGGTAGTTGGGACTACAGGCATGCGCCACTACCTGGCTAATTTTTGTAGTTTTTGAGAGAGATGGGTTTGTCATACATGGTTCCAACTCTGGACTTGTGTTAACC